CATGGTGAGTACAAAGCTTTTTCCAGCATAAAGATGTAGAATCACAATGTGTTCAACTTGCCTCCACTATACTCCACACTTTCCAATTCCCATCTATCAAGTCGGCAAATGAATCCATTAAGATATCTTCCCAATAGAAAGATGAATTTATTTTCATTTAAAAAATGACTGCCCTAGCCGAAACTGGTTTGGCTCAGTGGATAGAGCATCAGCCTGCGTACTGAAAGGTCCCAGGTTTTATTCCGGTTAAGAGCATGCATGTACCTTGGTTGCGGGCACAACCCCAGTAGGGAGTGTGCAGGAGGCAGCTGATTGATGTTTCTCTCTCATCGATATTTCTAGCTCTCTATCCTTCTCCCTTCCTCTCTGTAAAAAATCAATAAAATATATGTGTTTTTTTTAAAAATGACTAGCCAGGTAACTCAGTTGGTTAGAGCTAGCCCAAGGTTCTGGGTTTGATCCCAGGTCAGGGCACATAAAGAAGCTACCCAATGTATACATAAATAAATAGAACAATTAATCAATCCCTCTCTCTTTCAAATCAATAAATATTTTAAAGTGTAAAGAAAATTATTGAACATAGAATCATACAACTTTAAGAATTGAAAAGGCCTTGCAAAGCATGTAATTCTGTGCCCTACCTATTGTAGAAATTGTTTCAATAACATCTCTGGCAGCACATTTGTGGCCTGGAATCTCAAGATGGAGGGTGGGGAGAAAGGGTCTTTGACTTAAATGCCAAGTAATTCTGAATATGTATAGCTTTAAAGGGGTGTTTGTTAGTATGTAGATCTGGTAGGTAACATTGTTTGACAGAAGTGATCAAAAGTAATCTGTGCCATTACTTCACCATCACTTGCAACACAATTCCCAGTTGTAAGAAAGCTAATTTGTAACCTATTAACAATAATTTCCAATGCCTTTAAAAAGATGTGCGCTACTAAAAATAACTATTACGTTTGGGCTCAAAATTAAATAGGTTTTTCAGCTTTTACAGATCTTTTTTAAAGTATGACATAGATGGACATGGATGTTTTATTGTCATTTACTCAACAAGTACTCTATGCTGGTCACTCTGCTGGGCCCTAGGGGAACAGAGAAGGCAGAAAAGACATGGTCTCTATTCTAAGGGAGCTTTGTTTATGGAAAAGATGGTTATCACCCAAAGAATTACAAATTTTAAAAAGTGCTATAAAGGCAAAGTACAGGATGCTCTGAGAACATGTAATAGGGAAAACAGCTGATCTAGCCTGGGACTGGGAGGATTTGCAGAGGGAGTGATGCTTCAGCTGGGAACTGAATGGTGGCCATTCACATTTATGTAAAAGCAGGTCTCCATAAAATGAAAGGGCTGGTCCAATAAGCCCAACTACCTTTGGCATCTGTATCCTAAAACAACCTTTAAAAAAAAAAAAAAAAAGCAAAGCAAAGTATGCCAGAAAGAGGCTTGAACGCTAGCAGTTCAAAGTTCTTTGGGAGAGGGACACAGTCTTACTCATCCTTGAATCCCCCACATCACCTAGTACCGTGGTCGGCAAACTGCAGCTAGAGAGCCATATGTGGCTCTTTGGCCCCTTGAGTTTGGCTCTTCCACAAAATACTACGGCCTGGGCGAGTCTAGTTTGAAGAAGTGGCATTAGAAGAAGTTTAAAAAATTTGTCTCTCAAAAGAAATTTCAATCGTTGTACTGTTGATATTTGGCTCTGTTGACTAATGAGTTTGCGACCACTTACCTAGTATAATTGTTATCATGGTAGTCACTCAATCTTTGTTGAAATTATTAGTATCAGTATTAAACCAATGTTTAAATTACCTTGAGTTAAGCAACATAAATTCATAACACTACATCTCTTCACACAAGGAACCCCATTTCAAACACTTCGATTGTGAAATGATGCTTTCATCTACCTCAAAGGATTATTTTTAGAATCAATGAGATAACATACGCCAAAATGCTAGGGTAAATTCTGAAATGCTCAGAGTATAAGGCATCCTTGTCCAAAAAGCTTGATCAGTCTTTTCTCATTAAGGCAGTTCTTTAGATTCAGCTGTGTTTCCTTTTCCTTACCATGAGAAAACCCTAATTCAGGTCTGCACGTGCTCTCTAGCCTTGGTTTTCTCTGAGGTGAGGCTGCACAGACTCTGAGGTCCCTTTTAACTCTAGAACCTGACCTGGTAATGTTTTGAAAGGGCCAAAATTACAGCTCTCAGCTTAGATGTTGTTAGACTACATCCTCATCCTCTCCATTCCTCATGATTCCATACTTCCTTTCAGGAAGTTTTTTAAAGAGTCCTATTTTTACTTATCTTATAAGCAGATTTAAGTTGAATGTCTTCATCCAAATCAGAACTTCTGAATGATCTGAAAATTTGTTGTGAAACTTTATACGCCCCAAAGAAAAAAAAGAAAAAAAGTCAAAATGACCAACTGTCAAAAACTCACAACTCCTAACCCCAAAAAGTAAATTTTGGCCCTGCCAGTGTGGCTCAGTAATGATTGATTGTCGACTTATGAATTAGGAAGTGTGCAGGAGGCAGCCAATCAATGATTCTCTCATCACTGATGTTTCTATCTCTCCTTCTTCTTTCCTCTATCAAATCAATAAAAATAAAAAAACATTTTTTAAAAAGTAAATTTTGGCCGAAACCGGTTTGGCTCACTGGATAGAGCGTCGGTCTGTGGACTGAAGTGTTCCAGGTTCGATTCCGGTTGGGGGCATGTACATTGGTTGCGGGCACATCCCCAGTAGGTGGTGTGCAGGAAGCAGCTGGTCGATGTTTCTCTCTCTTCGACATTTCTAGCTCTCTATCCCTCTCCCTTCCTCTCTGTAAAAAATCAATAAATTTTTTTTTTAAAGTAAATTTTGGTTTCTGATTGAGGAACACTATCTGCCCTATTTTAAAATCAGAAAACAGTCACAGAAACTATCACTTATATTCAGAAATAATAAATGCAAACTCATTCGTGAAAAAAAAATTTAATTATAATGGCTAGACAAAGTTGAAATGTCTATCAAATAATGTGAATGTATTACAAGATATTACCAAATGAAAATGAAATTTTACAAAAAAAATTAAAGTGCCCAAATAGGTTATGCAGCTAAAAGCAAATTTACAAGTTCAAAATTTTGTCTTATTTAAAATAATGTTTTGGTGTAGTTTTGAAAAGTTCTCCTAGTTTCACCCTTCACTGAATAGTATCCCACTAAGAGAGAACAGTTTCCATACTTCTAGGCAAGGGACCTGTTTTTACGATGCAAACAGGGGCTACCTGATCCAGATAAGGTTTCCCACTAGAATGCTTCAGAAATAATATATGTTCAAAGAAAACTTTAAAAAAAAAAAACAAGGGTAAATCCTTTTTTACATTAGTATTTGCTAGGAAACTTAATTTTAAGCACTTGCTTATTTTTATATAAACAGGTGTTAACTTAAAATTTTAAACTTATTTCCAGAGAAAAGGCTAATTTGTTCAGTCCTATCCATGTCAAGATAGCAGCGTTCTGTTTGACAGTTACTCTTAATGCTTATTTTAACTCTTTTTCACATCTACTGAGTGTTTCAGGACTTTAAAGTTCATTCCAGCCATGATATTATAAATTAAATGTGTGTATTACACCACTCTCTTTTAAAAGAGGTGCAGATAGGAAAGTTAAATAACTCGTCCAAGGTCACCCAACAAGTAAGTGACAAAGCTGGGGTTAGGACTAAAACTTCTGATCCTCGACTACTAATGACTTCACACTCTCCCGATTCCAAAAGAGAAAAAAATACAGTCAAGCGATTTATTGTCAGTCACTTGTAACAACATATCTCAAACACAGCGGTAACTTATAAACTTAAAAAAGATTCACCTTGAACAAGGAAGACAACTTGCTACATTTTGACACTGTCATTCCCTACTATCCTATTAAATCTCAGATATATTAAATCTCAGAGTATATTCACTCCTCAAGATGCACAATTTATTGGCACGCTACCCACACATTTATAAATGAACCGGTCACCGCCTTTCCCCATGCCCAGGTGCTGTGGGTGTGCTACATTCCTCCGCCTTCCCAGCGTCCAAAGCCCGCATATCCCTAAAGCAGTTCTCAATGAGGACCAAGGTACGTGGCTAATGAAAGAAAAGCTCTACGACGTTACTTCTTTTAAAAGAGATATTTTTAAAGGATGATTACATGCTTCACGGAATTACTGTTAAGCCGCCCGCCAAGAAGGGTTCTTGTAAAGTCGCTTTTTCAAGACGGAGGAGCCCTCCCTTGCTTGGGACACAGTCTGACTTGTTGGGCGAGGCTGATCCGGGCACGCTCTCACGGAACCCCTGCGGACCAGCTCGGTTCGCCGCAAACGTCAGTTCGACCTCACCCCGGGCTCAGGAGCCGCCCCAAACTACCAGGGGACCAGCTGACCCTCTTTTAGCGACCCCCCCAGAGGAAGGCTCCGCCGGCGGAGACAGTGACAGCGGCCCTCCCCCGGGCGCTTCAGTCAAGAGCGAGCGCTGACACCAGAAGGAGAGACGCCCAGGGAGTGTCAGTGCGGCGGCAGGTGAAGCAGCCCGTCGCGCCGGGACCGAGCGGGTCCCCCCCGGACCCAGGCTCCGGTCCTCCGCTCCCTGCCCCGGCCGCCCGTTCTCTAACCCGGAGCGAGACTCCAGCGCTGCCGGGAGGCGAGGCCGTCTCAGCCAGCAGCCGGCCACCCCACCTCTTCCGGGGACTCGCAGGCCCGCTCCCGGGCCGTGTCAGAGCCTGGCGGCGCCTGCCGGACCCTGCCCGAGGGGCGGCGGCGGCCCTGGGGCCTCCCGGACGGGACCCTGCACCCCCGGCCCTGCCACCGCCCCCGCCCCGCTCCCCGGAGCCCCCCGTCCTCGGGAGCACCCCGGCGGAGTTGCCGGCCCACTCAAAAGTAAGCGCGGCGGTCACCCTGGCCCCCGCGGTCACCGCCCTGCTCCCGGCATCTGCCCACGCCGCCGGCGGCCCCGGTGACGCCCGGGTCGGTACCTTGCGGACCCCCTTGTAGATATAGAAGTAGAGCTCCCGGCCCACATTGAAGCAGAGGCGGTCACCGTTGCCAGACTGATCGTTGAGGTTTACGAAGGAGACGCGGACAGGGTTGGATCCCTGCGAGTTGAAGGGCACCCGGTTGGGCCGGCTGTACTCCGAGTTCGGCAGCAGCTTGTACAGACCTTCCCGGGTGGTGAATTGGGTCTTAATCTCGTTCATCTCCTTCCCTCCTCCCTCCGTCGCCATCTTGGAAAGCAGCGTTCATCCTGCCCTAAGTGCCCGGATCACGCCCACCGCGCAGGCGCCGTCCCGGGCTCGCGCGCTCCCCCCCGCCCCTTCCTCCGGGCCCCGCCCACCCCGCGAGCCGGCCCGGCGGAGGCGGGCCCAGGGGGCAGGGGCGGGCTTGTTTACGGCGCGACTGCGCAGGCGTGCTCACCTGGCGCGCGGCGCGCCGCGGGGAGCCGCCGGCCCCGCCCCTGGGCGCGGCCTGAGTCGGCCCTTCGGCGGCGCAGGTGAGGCCGGCCCCGCCCGCACCCTCGGCCCCGCGGGTCCGGAGACTCCTGGGGGGACCCGGCTGCTGTAGGCAGCGCGTAGGTGAGCTCGGGGCGGGCTGGGACCCGAGGCACCCCGGGACCAGAGGCGCTGAGGAAGAGAGCTGTCTGGCTGCCCCCCCCCCCCCCGTTTCTGCTGGGAGGGGAGCCGGAGCCCCAATGTCGTTGTAACTCAAGAGGGGCGGGGGGGGGCGGTCCCGCCCTCCGGCCACCCCCACTCTGCGACTGTGGGGATCCCCTCTGCACCTCCCGGCACCCGAGGACCTGAGTTTTGCGCTTCGCCACCCTTTAAGGCGGGATGGAGGGAGAGTGGCGGACACACACACACTCACACACACACACACACACACAAACACCTGAGCTTGCACATCATACACCTGCATACCTGGTATAGGTGAGCGGCGGCTGATTTTAAGAAAAGTCATTTGTGTCTGCACTTCTGTTAAGTTTGTCTTCACCGGGTTTTTAGAGAAAAGCGGGGAGGGGACGGGAATCAGAGACTAAGGAGGATTCATTTGTCTTCCTCCGTTATTCATAGCCCTTTGATCATAGACGGTTGATTTTTTTTTTTTTTAAGAGGCTCCAGTGGAAGCTGCGAAATTGCTTCCCAGCCATAGTTTTGTGCATGTACTGTATGTACTGTGTCTAGGTATGTAAGGACAGGCACACGTGTTGAAGGCGGAAACAGTTGGCATTTTATACCTGGTCTCAGCAGGTTGCACTAGAACCAGAACGTTTCTGACATTTCTGAAGTGACAGAAACATTCTGGCAGGATTCCAGGGAGGGGCGGTCACATTGGGTACGGGAAAGAGTGAACTATTTCTTTAAGTTGTAGAGGAGGGTCACAAAAGGAGTGGAGGGAGGTTAAGTTCTAAAGTAAGAGGAGTCTAAATCATAAGCATCTTGTGTATCACAAAGCCAGTACATGCCAGTGGAAACTGTGCCAGTGATGTAATAATGCATTTGACACCAACATCTTGTACCTTTTGTTTGGGGGAAAAAAAAAAAAAAAAAAGCACTAACATTCTTCTTAATTAATAGGTCCTTAAAATACTTTAAAATTTTCTTGTTATATTGTTTTGATGTTATCTGTGTTTACCTAAAAGTCTAATAAATATCAGAAGTCTTGTAAAAATACCAGGATGTCTTCGTGGTCACAATGGATGTATCCCAATTTTCTATAACTGTTATTTTATGTTAAAAATATCCTATATAGCCAAAACAGGTTTGGCTTAGTGAATAGAGCGTCAGCCTGCGGACTGAAAGGTCCCAGGTTCCATTCTGGTCGGGGGCATGTGCAGGAGGCAGCTGATGGATGTTTCTCTCTCATTGATCTTTCTAACGCTCTCTCTCCCTTCCTCTCTGTAAAAAATCAATAAAATATATATTTTTAAATATCCTATATAATAAAGGCTAATATGGAAATTGTCCCCTCTACAGGGAGTTGGACCAGGGGGCAAGGCTGGCCAGCCAACTGCCCATGGCCTTCCTCCCAATCAGCTGGCCAACCTTTCATGATCCCTCCCTCTGGCCAGCCAGCCCTGATCAGGGCTGGGCAAGACAGCTCCGATCATCAGCCAGGCCAAGTGACCTCACCCGTGTATGAGTTCATGCACTGGGCCTCTAGTATATTTATTATGATCAACTTGAGGGATAGTGACATCCTGAATCATCTATAATAATAAAAGCATAATATGCTAATTGTAGAGAGCCCCTTGGGAATGCATATGGATGACCTTTAAATTAATGTCAGCTGAATCCGAGGTGACAGGCCTGGCCATCCCCAGGGAAACAGCCTCCCAAAATGTGGGAGACGGCTATCAGTATTGATTTCTTATCTTCATCCATGTCCTTGGAATGAGGAACGAATGGGACCTTGACTTACCCAGGTCTTGCTATGCTAAATCCCAGGGATGAGGGAATGGGTAGGACCTGGGCACATCCAAGACTTCTTCGACCTTAAACCGCCCTCTGGAAATCAGTAAATGCGCTGTGTTGTCTGTGGTGGGGGTTGACTGTCCCTCCATCAGAGTGACAGCATCCACCCGGCACCCAGTTTTTGGATTTATTTCTGCCTCTTGTCTCTATTTCTTTTTTTTTTTTAATATATTTTTATTGATTTTGTACAGAGAGGAAGGGAGAGAGATAGAGAGTTAGAAACATCGATGAGAGAGAGTCATCGATCAGCTGCCTCTTGCACACCCCCTACTGGGGATATGCCCGCAACCAAGGTACATGCCCTTGACCGGAATCGAACCCGGGACCCTTCTGTCCCCAAGCCTACGCTCTTATCCATTGAGCCAAACCGGTCTCGGCTTGTCTCTTTATTTCTTAATCCCCAGCTCTTCCACTCAGGAACCTGTCCTTCTCCCTTTCCGTGCAGGATGAGGAAAAGGAAAAGCACCCACCACAGTTAATTAGACCAGATGTCCTTCCAGATGAAGTCAGGGCTTCAGGGGAAGCCTGGATGCCTGCTGGTGGCCAGAGGGAAGCCCGGGTCCTGGGTGCCAGAGGAAAGCTGGTGTCGGTAGCCTACTGGGAAGCTGGTCTGGGGGGAAGGGAGGATTACTCTTTCACAAATTTTGTGCATTGGGCCTCTATCTAAAAATAATTCAGTTGTGTTTCCATTATCAAGGGGGATAAAAGCATAATAATACTTTTTGGAGAAAAAATAACTCAGCAAGCAAAAATTAAAACAAAAATAATTTGTTAGCCCTCAACCACAGTTTTCAATTACCCATAATACCTGTATGCCTCAAGCATTCTATTAGAGTTTTATTCTATATGAACTTAATATGTTTTATGTGATCACAATTATAATTGGCTGTTCTCTTTGTCCCATCCAATGCCTTTGCATAATCTCTATTCTTAGTTTTTCTCCCCCCCAACACTTAAGGATGCATTAATAATACCTGAACGTATATAACTGGGCCTGACCTGAAATTAATTTCTGATTTGCAGTTTCATACTGGAATTTCTTATTGGATTTGTACCTCTAATTCATCAGTGTCTAAATCTTAGCAGTTCTCTTTCCTTTTCTTCAAACCTGAATTATGATGTAATTAGAGGCCCGGTGCACAAATTTGTACATAGGTGGGGTCAGGCAGGGGTGGAGGGGCGTGGGCGGTTGGCCAGCCAGCCCCACTCCTGATCAGGGTGTTGGGGCCAATCGAGGCCCAGATTAGGCTGGTTGGCTGCCACAGTGCACGTTATAGCTACTGGCCGTTCCAATTGTTCTGTTCGTTCCGTCATTCCGGTCTCTGGGCTTTTACATATATAGATAGCTTTATGAATGATTTCCTTAATTTCACTTTTTCTCTCAACTTTGCTCCTATAAACATCTTCCAAATTAATTTTCTTAAAACATTTCTTTTGATATTGCATTCTTGCCCAGAAACTGTCAATGATTTACAACAGCCATATTATTTAAGTCATGCACCTGCTAATTCTCAGCCTGTTGTTACATATTACAGAAAGTCAGACAGAAAGTTCTGCATCACCCTTAGCTCTTCCTCTTGCTGGAAAAGAACCTTCTTTCTTCTGCTTTCCCTTTGATAGCCTGTTCTCAGGCCTAGTCTAAGTCCCATCCTCACCAAGCCTTTCCCAAGCCCCTGGTGATAAAACCATATTTTAAACCAAGCATTCCCTATTCAGGATACATGGCTGGCTTCATGAAGTGTTTGAACTCTTTGTAATTGTATTAAAAATGTTGTGTACATGTTTATTATGTTATTGGAGTCTGTAGCTTTCATCAGATTTTCAAAGAGATGTGACCACCACCACCCCCAAATTTAAAAATTACCTCTCTAAACTTCTCTGGCACTTGGCCAAGCTTTCATTTTTCTTTTCTTTTTCTAAAAATATATTTGTATTGACTTCAGAGAGGAAGGGAAAGGGAGAGAGAGAGAGAGAAACATCAATGATGAGAGAGTATCATTGATTGGCTGCCTCCTGCAGTCCCCCCTGGGGATTGAGCCCGCAACCCAAGCATGTGCCCTTGACTGGAATTGAACCCAGGACCTTTCAGTACGCAGTCCAAGCTCTATCCACTGAGCCAAACCAGCTTGGGCAAAGCTTTCATTTTTCATGTATAATAATCCTAAACCATTATCTTCTTTTGGTATTAGGATATGCTAGTTGTCTTGTATTGGTACTTATCTTTTAGTATGTACATACTGCCTTTCAACCAGGTTGTATGCACACTCAAGAGTATGAGGGGCCTCATTCAAATTATTTTTTTATATTTTTATTGATTTGAGAGAGAGAGAGAGAGAGAGAGAGAGACATCAATGAGAGAGAATCATAGATAGGCTGCCTCCTGCATGTCCCCTACTGGGGATTGAGCCTACAACCTGGGCATGTGCCCTGACCAGGAATCCAACTGTGACTTCCTGGTTCATAGGTCAATACTCAACCATTGAGGCACATTGGCCAAACACATTCAAATTCTTTGTATCCTCAAATATTTGAGTGCTCAGGTGTGCCACTCTGTCCTAGCCTTTGGAAGGCATCAGTAAACAAAAATCTCTCACTCATAGAGTTTATATTCTTGCAAGGAGAAGACAGAGGATAAACAATAAACACAAATAAGTAAACCAAATAGTGATTGTGCTAGGAAAAGAAGTAGAGCAGGATAAGAGAGTTGGGAATGTGTTGGGTAGGTTGCAGTTTAAAATATGGTGATCAAGCCCTGA